CACACCATCCTGGGAGCCACCTGTCTCCCTGGCCATGGGGCGTGGCTCGGGCATCTCTTCCCCAGCTCCCTGGGGGCAGCACAGGACTGCAGCCAACTCATTCTTTGAGGCAAGAAACATAGTAGGAAAGAGCTTTGATGATCCATCTGCCTAGATATCCAGAATTCACAGGATGGGGTGAGGAGGGACTTTCTGGAATCTTTGGCTAGGTGAGAAGTGGTGTGTTTTGTGGTGACAGTTTGTCATTTTGAGTCGGTTTTTAGATCTAAGCAGCATTTATGTTCTAAGTGAGAGCCCAACTCTGGTGGATTGACTGGGCCCCGCCTGAGTCCTGACATCAGGATTGAAAGGAGAGAGGCAGCTTTCCTGAGACTTTATTTATTTATTTAGGGGACAATTTATTTATTTATTTATTTATTTATTTATTTATTTTTCTTTTTGTCTTTTTTCGTGACCGGACCGGGACTGGCAACGGGATCACAACCCTCGGTGTTGCGCCCGCACCTCGCTCAGCCTTTATTTCTTTATTTATTTATTTTTCTTTTTGTCTTTTTTCGTGACCAGACCGGGACTGGCAACGGGATCACAACCCTCGGTGTTGCGCCCGCACCTCGCTCAGCCAGTGAGCGGCCGGTCTGTATGTGGGATCTGAACCCTCGGCCGGGAGCGCCGCCGCACTCCCAAGCAGCGCACTGTAGCAGTGCGCCACCGGGCCGGCCCTTCCTGAGACTTTAAATCCAGATTGGGTGGAAGGTTTAAGTCCTGGCTTCACCTTTAAGAACTGTGTGGCCTTGGACAGTGCACTGGTCCCTCTCAGGCCCATCTTGGATTAAGGAGATTAAGGGGGCTGCGGGTCAAGCATGCTGGGTGTGTAGAGTGTGCCCTGAGGCACCACTGGGCCTCCCAGCCCTAGAAGCCTCTCAGTAAGGGGGGAACCTTGAGCTGGCCAAGCAGTGCTTGGGGATTGTGTCCACAGGGCAGCCCCTTGGCTGCATTTGGCACTGAGGGCTGCTGTCAAGGGTCTGTGGATCCCCGATCCCCAGGTGGGAGGGCGGGCTGCTCACACGGGCCTGGGCGGTGTACTGTCTTCTAGTGGGAAAGAGAGGGTCTCCAGGATTTGAGAGGACTGTGTAGTCCAAGCTTGAAAGAGGTCCTACAAGGCCAGCGGACCACAAGGAACTTGCAACCTTCTGGAAGTTGTGGAGATTCATTTCCTAAGACCTTATATCCCCAGGCCCAGGGAGGCAGGGCTCCTTCTCTCCTGGCCTTTAACCCAGAAGGCCAAGCTGAGACCCTCAGACAGAGACCCTGGACATGCATAGGCTGGGTACATGTAAATTGCCTGTAGTGAGGCAGACCGAGGGGCTGGGCACTCTCCTGGGGGTGCAGGTGCACACTGCTGTGTCTGGGCCACTTGCATGTACTCAGCATTTGCAGAGGGGCCTGAGGCTTCGGCTCCTCCTAGGGGTGGGGCCCCCAGCAGCTCTAGCCACGTTTGTGGTGTTTGTCCTGTGCCTGCTGGGTGCCAAGCCAACTCAGCATATGACGAGGCTGGTCCTGTACTCACTACTTGGTGCATGTGAGGAAACTGAGGCCCAGAAAGGGAAGGTGGTAAGCCCAAGGTTGTGCTGCTCATGACCTGTGGGCTGAAGTCTAAGCCCAGCACTGTGGCTCTAAGACAGTATCTGTCCTAGGCAGGCCTAGAAGGCTCTACGATGTCGTCTTGGGTGGCAGGATCCCTTTGACTCGCTGTTCCTGCCACCAGGGTTTTCCAGGCTGGTGGTGGGAAGCAGTCTGGCCTGGTGCAGCAGGAGCTGCTCCTGGTGGCACCTGGGATCTTGGGGATCAGCCCCTGGCAGGTTGAATGGGCCACTTTGGCCTGTACTGGTCCATGCTGTCTATTAGGTGCTTGGCCCGTGACCAGCACTATGTGGAGTCCTCTGGGGCCCAGCTTCTGGCTGAGCAGTGGTCACAAGTCAGGGAGCAGCCACATTCTGGCCCAGCAGCTGCCGAGGCTGAGTATGTGGTTGTCCTGTGGCCAGGCCTGTGTGCGCCAGAAGCCAAGGGGCCCCGGATGGTAGGGAAGACGCTGTAGCATGGTGACTGCCTACTGTGGACAGACTGCCTGGGCTGGGTATTGGTGAAGCCTGGACCAGCTCCCTGGACTCCTCCTGGAGCGCGTCCCTTGACAGCTGGTGAGGGCTTGCCTGTGGATGTGGGCTCATCCCTGTGGGCTAGAGTGCTCCAGAGGACTAGAGGACTAGAGTGCTCCAGAACATCTTGGGTTGACTGTGTCCTGATTCAGAGCTGAGCCGTTGGGGCTGAAGGGGCAGTGACCCCCACTTCTCAGAGCTTGATCCCAGGAGACCCAGAGATAGCCAGAAGAGGGCAGGGTTGCTGCTGCCTGCCCTGTGGTGCGGAATCCACTGAGCCTAGGTGGGGTCTGGAGGCCCTGGAGAAATGGGCCAGGGGCCAGCCCGGGAGCTTGGATAGCCTTCTGGGTGGTGGCAGGCGGTGCTGGGACGTGAATGATGATGTGCTTGGTGGCCTCAGCACCCCCTCAGGAGGGCCCATGACTCCATCCCAAGTCTGGCTGGCTTGCCCAGAGCCAGGAAGAGAAGCAGAGTGGGCTTGGGTGGGTGGGGACCAGGTGCCCTCAGCCCTGCTTGGGGACCTCAGGCGGCCAGGTCACAGCCAGGAGGGCACTGTTATCTTCCTGTCCGGGCTGGCAGACCCGAGCTGGCTGTGCAAAGCTGGGCCCAGAGCCTCATCAAAGGCCTGGCAGCCTCTCCCCACGAGGTGCCCAGAGCCGGCTACGTGGAGCAACGTGGGGATACCAGGCCCTGAATGGAGGGGTCTCGGTGCTGGTGTCCCACCGGGCTTCCTCGATGGAGGATGCTACATGGTGCTGTGTGGCTTGGCCTCACTTCTGGGTGAGTTTCCTTCCTCAAACTAATGGGCAGTAGGTCCTGTGCTCCCTGCCTTCCAGAAGCAGCAACAGACTGGTGTGGCCAAGCCGGTCCTCAGTGGGCCTGGGCAGCCCAGGGTAGGGGCAGGGGGGTGGTTGTGAGAGACCATGTGAGCTGGGCCTTGGTCTGCACCCCCCACCCCCGTTCCACTCACTGTTCACCCCTGGGGGATGGGCAGGGCAGACCGATTTTGCCACCCGCTCCTGCTGTGGACAGGCATCAGCTTGTCCCAGCCTCACTCCCACCACCAGCTGGCATGTCTGGAGCTGGCCGGCCCCTGCCGGGCCTGTTACCCCAGGCCGAGCCCAGCCACTGTTCCCCCTTCCTCATTGTGCACGTTCTAATTTCTAACCTAAGTTAGAACTTGAGATTTGAATGCAGGTGATCTGTGGTGTTCGTATGAACGTGGATTCTGTGAATGAGCCTTTGTCCTCACTGTGGGTCCTCAGCATGGAGACCCTGTCACTCACTAGAGCTCAGGCCTGGCCCACAGGTGCTAAGAGTGCTCACTTAGCTTCCTGCAGCATCTCAGAGTGGGGGTTCAGCAAGGACTTCCCATGTGTGTGTGTGTGGCCCCCTGCACAGCCAGGCAGGCCTGTGAATCGTCCTCTCCCTGCTGTGAACCGTGCAGAGAGGCCATGGCAAAGGGGGGCCTGGGCTCTGGTCTCGGGCAGGCCTCCCTACTGCACTGCAACCCATTCTCAGAAGGATCCTGGACCCCAAAGGAAGCCCGTGACCCAGTGGCTTTCTGGAGACTTGCCATGGCTGGTAAACCCAGACCGGCCACCAGAGAGTCCTGTGAAAGGGCAGAGTCATGGCAGGGGCCATTCAACTGACTGTTGCCCACCCATTCACCCTCAGCCAGCTGTGGAGAGCCTCTCCACATGGAGAGCGTGTCCCTCTCACTTCTGGCTGTCCCTTGGTGTGCCCCCAGCCCTCACGTCCCATCCATGTTACCAGGCTCATGGGCCAGGGCTCAGGGGAGCTGTTTCTGCTCATTTTCAAGTCATTGCTCTTGTACCCTTCGTTTCGGTCTGGGCCTCCTGTCCTCCCACACTGAGCCACTCGAGGGCCAGGCCCACAGCCCACCGTGTGTGTCTCAAAGGCACCATGTGGGTGCTCAGGAGGTGTATGTCGAATGAGTGAGAGACCGAAGGCCAGAGTGATGCTGGGCTTGCAGGCGGCCCACTGTCCACATGACTGAGGATGCCCAAGGGGAGGGGGCCTTGCTCCTGCTGACCCGACTTATGCCAGCCCAGTTCAGCACCATGTCCCACCCGCAGCCCCCATTCCCACCTCTCCCATCACACTCTGCGTGCCCACCTGCCCTTGTCCTGGGTCATCTCGGCCTCCTGTGTGCCACAGCTCTGTACCACCAGCTCTCTGGACAGCCCCTGCAGGAAGCCAACCTCCCTGGGTGGGTGGCAGCTGCCTCCTCTCACCTGCACTCACCAGGGAGGGCCAGAGTGGAAGGATAGGCTGGGGGTCAGTCTGAGCTGCGACCCCAGCCCCCAGCACAAATGGCCTTTCTGACAGCCAAGGAGAGTGTTCTTGCCTCAGCGTGGGGAAGCAGCGTCCGCTCCCCACTGGACAGCTATTGGCTGAGAGCCCCTGCTGTACCAGGCTGAGAGCCAGGCATTCCTATAGGGGTCCCAAAATCTGGGCCTATAGGGGGTTCAGGACAGTCCCTGGCACCCAGATGGGAAAAAAACCAGGCTTCAAGCCCCACGTGTTGGAACCAGTCAGCATCAGCTGGGCCTGCCTCAGGGAAGCACCGTGGCCTCTGTGAGCTGAGGTGGTCCTCTCACGAGACACCAGCTCTCTGTAAGAGCCCAGGCTGGCTGTGTCTTTGCATGTCTCAGTGTTTGCTGGATACCAGCACGACTCAGATACAGACGTGCTTGTCTTCTCACCAGTTGGAGCCCCTTGGGACGGCCAACCTGGCCCCGGCTGGAGCTGGCGGGCACGGGCACGTGTGCGTGTGCGAGTCCCACAGGTCTGTGAGCTTCATCTCCCTTTCCTTCTTCGCAGTGTACTAACGGTCACTTGATGTGCGCTGGCTGTTTTATCCACCTACTAGCAGATGCCCGGCTGAAGGAGGAGCAGGCCACATGCCCCAACTGTCGTTGTGAGATCAGTAAGAGCCTCTGCTGCCGGAACCTGGCCGTGGAGAAAGCCGTGAGCGAGCTACCCTCAGAGTGTGGCTTCTGCCTGCGCCAGTTTCCCCGCTCCCTCCTTGAGAGGCACCAGAAGGAGGAATGCCAGGACAGGTAACTGCTGGGGCTGGGGGCTTGGTCGCCTGCGCGGGGCCCAGGACAGGGCTGGGAAGCCCAGCCTGGTGCAGGATGATCTGGCTGGTCCTCATTGCTTGGGCTTTAGGTACCGCACATGCAGCCTAGGTATGTCGCAGATGGCCCCCAGGGCGCATGGGGCTCCACAGGACAGAGGGCGGGGTCTGCACCCAGTTGCTATTTGGACACAACTCTGGTTCTCCAGGGTTTTCTCTGGCTGTGTAGTAGTCTCTTGGAGGGGTCAGGACAGCATGGCCAGTTCAGGAGCTCTGGGAACTTGGTGTGAGGCCAATGGAGACAGCCACTCGGCCAGTGGGGCTAGGCCACTGAACCTTCTGGAGTGAGGCGGTGCAGGGTCCAGGACCACGGTCAGTGGCCACCTATTGTGAGGCACAGGAGAGACCCACAGCAGGGGTCCAGGAGGCAAGCTGGTCCACGGCTCCATGGGCCTCCCCCCTCCCTCTGTCTCACACACGTGCATGTTATGACCTGTCCTGGGGGCTGGGCCCACAGTTCGTGGCTGAGTGGGCTGGCGGAAGCCACTTTGGGAGGACAGCTAGGCATGGCCCCTGCCGCAGGCGCAGGTCGTGACCAGTGCCCTCCCATCCTCCCAGGGTGACTCAGTGCAAGTACAAGCGCATCGGCTGCCCGTGGCACGGCCCCTTCCACGAGCTGACGGTGCACGAGGCTGCCTGTGCCCACCCAACCAAGACAGGCAACGAGCTGATGGAGATCCTGGATGAGATGGACCAGAGCCACCGCAAGGAGATGCAGCTCTACAACAGCATCTTCAGCTTGCTTAGCTTCGAGAAGATCGGCTACACAGGTGAGGCGCCCCGCTGCCCGTCGCATGCCGCTCAGGTGTGGGCTGGGGGCAGCAGGCTCTGGGCAGTGGGCTGCGCCGGATGGCCAGGCTCTGGACAAGCAGCCGGTGGACAGGAGGGCATCTCACAGAAGAAGACAGGCCTGGGACTGAGCAGGGGGAGGGGCCGGGCAGGACCCCTGAGGTGCACCTGCAGGGCTCTCCTGGAAGCCCCTCCCACCAGTCCTCCCCACCCTGGCCCTGCCACCCCAGCAAGGTGGCGTCCTCACTGTGTGGGGCTCCACAGCTCTGGAATAGTCGGGGTCTAACCAGAAAGTGGGACGTGTCTCAGGGAGGTCTGGGAGCTGGGGGCCTGCCCCGTGGAGCCTGGGGCAAGAAGAGCACTCTGGCAAGTCACGTCCTGCCTGCAGGCAGCACTGCAGTGGCCACGGAGCCTCCTGAGGCTGGATCAAAACTGTTCAGGGACAGGGCTCCAGAACGAGCCAAGGGCACTCAGCTAAAACTAGAACTGGGAGTGGACACCTATATGGGCAGGCTGGACTGGGCCCAGACCCACTGGATCTCGTGGCTCTCTGGCCCATTGCCACCGCCTTTGAACATGCTGGGTACAGGAGCCAGCCAGAGCCTGGTCCAGAGAACAGTGAGAAGCGCTTGCTGGCACCGGGGCCTCTCAGGAGCTGCATCCCTCTCCTGCTCAGTCCATGCTGGCACACAGCTTATAGCCTGGGGCAATCATGGGCAGCCAGTCACGCCACACTGACTGAACTGGGCCTGGCTAGGTGTGAGCCTAAACAGGCCCAAGATGCCAAGGGTCCAGAGGTCCTCAGCAGCAGAAGGCCGCAGCCCCTGGTTAGTAGCAGCTTCAGCTGTCCCGGCAAGCACTGTGGCATGAATGGTCCAGGCCGGGCCTCGTGGGGTCTGGGCAGGATGGGACATAGTGACTGCAGCAGTGGCCGGGTGGGAAGCCCCATCCATGCAGCAAGGACTGGCTTCCTGGGAGCCCACGCCTCCACGGAGGGACTTGCCAGCCACAGGCTATGGGCTGCACAAGAGGACTGCGCAAAGGCAGGTCTGCCTGCTGATGACGGCCTGTGGACGGCCAGGCAGGGCCCACCACGCAGCCCGACGCCCACGGACCCTGTGCTCCCCTTGGGCAGGGCTGGTGCCACAGCCGCCCACCGGCTTTTTTGGCAGCTCTGTATCAGAAACAATAAAGTGCACTTGTTCTCAGAACTGCATCCTGTCTGTGTGTCTGCTTACCCCGCCCCTGTGGGACCCTGGGCTGATGGCGAGGTGGGAGGCCAGTGTGGGTTGGGCATGCCCAGGATGTGGCCCGCAGCCTCGGACTCTGTCCAGCTAATTCGTGTTAATTCTGTTTGTAGTTGTCCCCCAAAGCGTGTGTGCCCTCCATTTGCCATAAGTGGCTTGATTGCCTTGTGACAAGCAGAGTGCGCTACGCCTGGTAAGTTGCCTTCCTCCCTGGCCGAGCTGTCCTCGGCCTGGTCGGGGAAGGCCTCTGCCCGGCCCTGCCCACGCTAACAGCTGGCTCCTCCCGGCCCTGTCTGTCTCTGCAGAGGTTCAGTTCCGGCCATACCGCACAGATGACTTCATCACACGCCTGTACTATGAGACACCGAGGTTCACGGTGCTCAACCAGACGTGGGTCCTGAAGGCTCGTGTGAATGACTCGGAGCGCAACCCCAACCTGTCGTGCAAGCGCACGCTCTCCTTCCAGCTCCTCCTCAAGAGCAAGGTCACGGCACCCCTGGAGTGCTCCTTCCTGCTGCTCAAGGGCCCCTATGATGACGTGCGGATCAGTCCTGTCATCTACCACTTTGTCTTCACCAATGAGAGCAATGAGACGGACTATGTGCCGCTGCCCATCATCGACTCCGTGGAGTGCAACAAGCTGCTGGCTGCCAAGAACATCAACCTGCGGCTCTTCCTGTTCCAGATACAGAAGTAGGATGGGGCCCTGGGACGCCTGCGGAGCAGATGGGCAGCAGCCTGGCCACCGCCCTGTCTGCCACGTCCACCTTGGTGCGGTAGTGGCTTCACACGACCATGCAACCATCTTAGGAAAGGAGAAGAAACAAAACCAAACACTGGGAAAGTCTGCATGCGTGTGCGACAGGGTCCCCTCCTCCGCACACCTCCTCCACCCCTGCCTACCCTCCTCCCAGGGGCAGCTGGAGGCTGGGCTGACCCGCCGAGGAAACTGCGCTGGGCACCCCGCAGGCTCAGGGATGGCAGTAATACGGAGGCTGGAAGCACAGTGGCCCCTGGCTGGCCCGTCGCACAGCAAGGCGGCGCTGCCTGCCCTGGTTCCATGCACGGCTCCTGGGCCGGGCTCAGGGCCTTGCCGACTCCAGACGTCATATTTGATTGCAATTAAAAAGGCAGCCTTGTTTCCTACTTTCTGTTTTGTTCGAGGGGAAGGTACGGCTGTGAGTGGACAGCATGGGAGCTGTGGTTTGGCTCGGGGGTCAGCCTGCCCTGTCCCTGTCACTGCACCTGCTCATCTCCCCCAGGAGAGACTCAGAGACACCACGTTCCCCCACACACTGTCCCAGGGGTCTCGAGACTGAGGCCTAGGCAGGGAGAGCCAGGCAGAGTTGGGGCTCTCCTAGCTGCCTGGTGACTCCCGGGGAGACAGGACTCGGCCACCGGGGCTCAGCAGATGTTTTCGGAATGCAGGGTGAAATTCTGTCTCTTCCCAGAAAAAAAATTAAACTCTTTACAGGCTCTTCTATAAGCTATGTGATTTTAGCAAGAGAGAATCTGTCTATTCAGCCTCACGTGCTCAGCGTCCCCAGTCTGCAGAAAGCTCTGGGGGCCACTGGCTGTGAGAGCCTGACTGGGTGAGGGTCGAGTGGGCAACCGTCCCACGCTGCTGTCAGGGACCAGCTGCTGCTCCTGCGTCTAGGGCCTGAAGGAGGCGTGCCCTTCCCCGCCTTCGTGTGGCTGCCCTCTTGTGCTGTGGGTAGTGTCTGAGCAGGGACAGTGTTTGGACCTCACAGGGTGAGAAGGAGCCCTGTCTGGAGTGCCTGGGCCCTGGTCCTTCTCCTGGGACCCTCAGCACTACTAGCAAGGGTAGAGCTTTTCCCCACACCCCCCTACTTTTGCTTAGGAGATGTGGCTATCCTGCGATAGCTTCGTTGCTTCAGTACCAAAGAACTGGTTTCCTCTGCCCCAGCGAGGACCACCACATGCCTCAGAGCAGCCCCACCCGCCCCCTGCAGGCTGCCTGGGCCTGGCTCCCCATTGCCCTGTGCCCTGCTGCTGACCTCTGGGGCTCTGCCCAGCCCCTTCTGCATTCCTAAGAGTGGACCTCGGGGTCAGTTCTCCCCTCCAGGGTAGCCTTTCTGCCCCCTCACAGGCTAAACGTTTCTCAGAGCTCTTTCTGAGAATCCTGTTCAGATTCTTTCTTCCAGCCAAGGATGTGGAGCTTTGGGGGACTGCCTTGTGGGAGGAGCCTCCTTTCCTTCTAAGCAGACATGGCTTGGTGTCTAAGGGGACAAAAGACTCCGGGTTTGGGGTTCTGCTTGCTACAAAGAAACACCCCACCCCAGCTCCCAGTATATCCTTGGGAGCAGTGGCTTCTGACTCAGGTACAACCAGGGTGAATCCCACAGCCCTCAGGGCCACTCCCCCCACACCCAGCTGGGCAGGCCAGAGGACAGCCATGGGATCTTGTGTGTGCGTGGGGAGGAGCTGTGGTACCACATCCCTGCGACCCTGCATCTCTGGAGGACAGCACCCTCTTGGGAAGTGTTTCTGGATTTGAAGGTGGCATTGTGAGAGACAAGAGCAGGCCCCGTCCACCTGTCTTTGGGTGATTGAGCAGAGGGACAGGCCCCATCAGTTCTCCTGGGTGGAGCAGAATGAGAGGCTGGGATGACAGCCTGGGGGAGCTGTGCTTTTTGGGTCCGGGAGATGGAGGTGATGTACACTGTGGCTGCCAGAGGGCGGTGGGCTGGGGGGGCCCCAAGGAGGAAGGAGACCTGAGCTGGCTGAACTTGAGGCCTGGCCTCAGTTCTGGGCAGGCAGCCGTGGGTGTGGAGTGGAAGATAGGAGCATGGGGGCAAAGACCTCTGTAGAGGTGTGGTGTGCGTCTGGGGGTGCCGGGAGGACTGCTAATGCATCCCAGCATGGCCCTGCCCCGTGGCCCTCACACGCAGCAGCTGAGCCTTACAGTCTGGGGGAACCACATGGCAAGAATAAGCTGGGATTGGTGCCAAATGCCCCTCGCAGCTGAGCCACTGTGGGCCGCTTATTACTGGGGGCACCACACTCAATGGTTTGTCCCCAGGATCCCTTGTCATCTCAGTATCTCAACCTGGTCCTTTATTTGTCATCTCTGAGGATGGTCCAGAAGGTGGGGGTCCAGCCTCAGCAGACGGAGGGGAGGCGTGGGGCATAGGTCCCACACTTCTCTCCCCATCTCACCCCCATCCCCTGTGAGCACCGTATCCCTCAGTTTGCCCAAAGTGAGACATTTACAAAAATAATAAAAATAATTTTCTAAAGAGTGGAGCAAGAAGCATTTTTAACACCATCAGAAATGACTTACAAGTCGGGCCGGCCCGTGGCTCACTCGGTAGAGTGCGGTGCTGGTAACACCAAGGCCCCGGGTTCGGATCCTATATAGGGATGGCCGGTTTGCTCACTGGCTGAGTGTGGTGCTGACAACACCAAGCCAAGGGTTGAGATCCCTTTACCGGTGATCTTTTTTAAAAAAAAAGAAATGACTTACAAGTCACTTTATGGCCCACGTTCTCTTTGGATATTTTCTGTATGTGACTGTAGTTTTCAAAAAATTCCAAACCTGGGCCGGCCCCGTGGCTCACTCGGGAGAGTGCGGTGCTGACAACACCAAGGCCACGGGTTCGGATCCCATATAGGGATGGCCGGTTTGCTCACTGGGTGAGCGTGGTGCTGACAACACCAAGTCAAGGGTTAAGATCCCCTTACCGGTCATCTTTTTTAAAAAAAAAAAAAAAAAAAATTCCAAACCATGTTTTGCCTGTGTTTCCTTACCAGAAAACAGCCTTTTGGGTGGGCCTCCTGGGCTCTGCCAACTCCCCTGCCACCTTCAGCCTGTGGCCATTCTGCCCTAGGTTTCCAGCCCTGCATAGCACCACTGTCTGGTCAGTGGAGAAACAGGCACAGAGGCGTTGTCTCTCTGAAGGGGAACTGGGCCTCCAGGAGCTGAGCTGTCCCGTGAACCCTGAGGCTGGAGGGAAGGCACTTCGTGGTCTTCCGGTGGCTCTGGACCCTCTGTCTTCTGAGCCACCCTGTCTTCAACCTTTTCATCTGAGCCAGTCTCTGCTTTGGCACCTTGCTCCCCACCCATCCCTCTCCCCTCACTGCCCTGCACACACCTCACCAGCCTGCCCTCCATGTGGCTGTTTGGTTTCAGAGCCATACTTTGGGTGGGCACAGGCCTCCAAGTCCTGTCCCCTACATCCCCAGGCTCGGCTGGGGACCTGGCTATGCCACACCGAGGCCTGTGCTGTTGCCATCAGCCTGGGCATGGTCCTGTACAACCCTTCCCAGACACAGGGACCCGTCTGCCCTCCACACCACTCACTCCCCAACAGGCCTTGCTGTCCATGCAGTGGCTGAGAGTTTTACCCCATTGGGTCTGTTTCGATTACAACAGAAAATTAACCTGTCCATCTTGCACTCCTCTTGGGCCTCCTCAGTTGGACTCTGCACCCAGCTGTGACCTGGGTGCCCCAGGTCACAGGGTTCCAGACATATGTCCGACACTCATGCAGATGAGAAGTGTGCCTAAGATCCTAACTCCCTTTCACCTCTCGACACAAAATTTTACAGTTTTAGTGAACGAACGTTTACTGAATTTTCCAGGACGACAACTGGCGTATACATTGAGGAAACTACTTTGTTCTTTTTGGAAAACACATTTCCCCTCCTGCGCAACAGCCCCGGGGGTTTGAGTCTCTAGATGTGACGTGGCTGTGTGGGTCTGTAGAAGAGGAAAGCGTCTGACGCCTTATGCCCGCGTACCTAAATGCTCAGGTGTATTTTATTACAAATCACTTCGGTTTCCTCCTGTGTGAAGGTGTTGTGTCCTTTTCGAAAACTGCACGTGCAGTAGATTTTGTGTGTGTCTGTGCTTTAATTTCAACGGGAATTAGGAGACAGCGTTACAGGACATCTGTATGAAGGGGGCAGGTGGACGCTGGCAGCACGGGGGATGGAGCCCAGCAGACCCCACCCCAAGCCCACCCGCGTCCCCGTCGCCTGCTAGGAGGAACGGGGTCCCCGCCAGGCGCCCCTTGGCCAGGACTGACGGGCGGAGAGGCTGACGGGCGGACCCCGACCCCCGCAGGCGCCCACCGCTGCGCCGCCCCTGCGCCGGCCCGACCACAACTCCCAGGATGCCTCGGAGAGGGGGACCACACTTCCCAGAAGGCTCTGCAGCCGCCGCGCCTCCGGGGGCGGGACTGGGCATGCGCGGGGACGGGCGGGGCCGGCGCGGCGGGG